TTCTTATGATTGTGTCCCTTGCCCTGTGTGCCTGGCCCAGCAAATGGGTCTGAAAGAGATGTCACCCAATGCTACACTGCCCGTGGTCTGACTCCATCCTCCCTGTCAAGGGTGATGGAACTGAGGATGGGCAGGCCAGCCAGTCACTGTGGCCTGGTGCACAAAGACGAGCTGTGACAATGACATGGCTATCCCCAGAGTTTGGCAGTCTGATCCATAAACCTGGGGACCATATACTAGATAAGTAGATGAAATTGGTAAAAAAAGAAAGGAGTGGGGAGAGAAAGAGACAGGAAGGGACTTTGAGACGACAGAGAACACATGCTCACTAGACAAAGTGCAGCTTTGATTTCTGGTGGGTTTTCTGTTCCAATGCGGCCTGGTTGGAACAGAAATGATAATAATAGCAATACCTAACACTGCACTGGTTGTGTATCAGCTACTGCATTAAGAGTTTTGCAGGGATTATTTTATTTAATTCTCTCAATACTGAGATTCAGGGAGAGTAGGCAACTTGCTCAAGGTCACACAGTTAATAAGCAAAATGGGGTCTGTTTCATTTTCTTAAGATATCCATATTCCGGTAATTTCCAAGCCGCTCTCCACCCAAAAATCTGGGTCTGCTCCCTAGCTGCCTCTTACAGTCTTCCTGGGGACTGGTGTCCTGCTCATGAGTCTGAGCCCTGCATCTGGAGCCTTCTAATTCTCAGGCACTGATCCCTAAATGCCGCAGGCTTCCAGACCTCCCTGGTGCTCTGCACCAACCTTGGGGATCTTCTGGCAGTTGACACACTTTTTCTGAGTGTGTACCATGTGCAAAGGGAACAAGACAGAGTCCCTGCCCTTGACAAGCAGCACAGCTTTCCTATGGCTGTCTGCTCCCATTTCCACACCATCAGGATTCTATGCCAATCTTTTGGCTCCTCCCACTGCTATTGCTGGGTTCACCCCTCCAAGCTTCCAACCTGGGAGAACATTTATTTTCTTGGCCCAGCTATTCTGCGTACAAGTCTAACTCAAGGCTTCTGTTAGGAGAAGGCACTTTATGAGACGGCTTTTCTTCTAGGCTTCCAATCAATACTGTTTAGCACATGAAAAAGACTAGATAGAGATGAGTTATGACTGGCCAACCTGAGCTCTGGGTAAACAGGGTCAGACCTCTGCCATTCTATAAAAGTATTGTTTTAATAAGGTGGGTAGTTGAGCTGGGAAAATATATGGCAAGGTATTTGTTAATAGAAAAATAGAAATAGCCACCTCAGCTAGTGATTAAAAAGGGTTGACTCATATCAACTCAACTTGGTGAGGACACATGGAAAGACATGAAAATGAATTTTTACACTGATTATAGATTTCAGTGATCTCTATGACTGTTGACCTCTTGGCTTAGGACAATATGGAAGGAAAACATTTTTAAAGTTTCAAATCAAGAACTTAGTCTTCCCATCGTCTGGCTATGACTAGCTTTGGGATTATGATTCCTCATCATGAAGTACTAAAAAGGTCTTCATTTAGTTCTCAGTGATAGAGTTACAAAGAAAAGTCATTCCCACTACATTTCAGATTCCCTGAAGCTCGTTTCAAATGTCAGCTGAGTAACTGCAATGTAACTTTGTCAACATCCTGTTACAGGATACTGTAATAAAATGATAGGGCTTCATAGAATGGCAGTGCAGCAATTATAAATCATATTTATCCAAAAGTATTAAGAAATTAAAGCGGGCAGTTTTCCTTGTACTCATTTAGTAAATTCAAGGATTTTCCATTAATGACTCAAGGTGTCTGCTGAGATTTCAGAATAAAACATTGGTTTCCCAATGCCCTACCTATAGAATATTCTACCATGTGCAGGCCATTTTAATAGAAACTTTTAATTAGACTTTTTTTTAAACCTCCTTATAACTTGTGACAAAGTCAGCCAGGACTGGTATCACTTTTGTCTTACTATGGCACTGTTTTCTTGAAACACAATAAATATGCAGAGTTTACACTTTCAGAGAAGACAGAACTTGAGCTAGTCTGACCTGGATAGATAGCAACCTCTAATTATAAGCTCACAGTCGGTAATAAAAATTATTATGCTTAGAGGACACAATGGGGTGAGTGTACTCTATAAAAAGGAAAAATTCCATTGCTTTTTTCCCCCAAAGCAATTCTTATTTTATAAGACACCCTTTTCCTGAATAACAATCTTTCAGGGCTGAACTCAAAATAATTCAAAACAATTGCTTTAGATGCAGTCTTTAGAAGGTGTAGCATTGACTTGCTCCTTGACCAGAGGGTGGATCCCTGCACTCGAAGACTAAGTCATCCACTTTGACCAGACTATCCTAACGCTTGAGGAAGGAAAACAGCAGTGCTGTGTTGTGGCTACTGCTGCAGTGTTGGTTTACTCTTTAACTTCTTGGCTTCCAACATCAGTGCATGACTCATTTTAGGTTTAAATGGGCACGACCCAGGCAACATTTGAAATATAATCTCGTATACCAGCTTCGTTTTTTACAAACAGTACTTTAAGCATATAAATGATAAACTTCAAAGTGCCAGAAATTATTTTGGAAGGATGTACTAATAGAGAGACTTGACAATCTTGATAACCTCTCATTCTAAATTCATAGTGGTATCTTCAGTAATGGCTCCCAAATCAAACTTATGCAATCTAAAAATAACCAATTCCTCTTACTAATTTTGGGAAAATGAAGCCTCTGGTTCAGAATCAATCAACAATAACAAAATAAAAAGGACCAATATGAAAATATTAAATTCCAATCCTCAAAAGTCAACTCTGGCAGGTACAGAAGTGTAACTTTTTTGAAACTGCTTCCTTCCCCAGGAGTATTCCTGGAGCCACCTAAGAATAACTTTACAATTCTAAAAATATAATCTTAAATTGCTAGCACTGTCTGACACATGGTAAGTACTCAGTAAATATTGATTGAATGTTGAATAAAACAATTATTAAAAATGTGGGCATTTGAAGAGATCATCAGGCACATCCTCCCCAGCCTTCTAATTTTCTTTTTTTTTTTTTGGAAACTGAGTCTCACTCTTATCACGCAGGCTGTAGTGTGCAGTGCAGCAGTGCAATCTCAGCTCATTGCAACTTCTGCCTCCAGGGTTCACGTGATTCTCCTGCCTCAGCCTCCCAAGTAGCTGGGACCTGCCACCATGCCCAGCTAATTTTTGTATTTTTAGTAGAGACAGGGTTTCATCATGTTGCCCAGGCTGGTCTCAAACTCCTGACCTCAAGTGATCCACCTGCCTCAGCCTCCCAAAGTGCTGAGATTATAGGTGTGAGCCACCGTGCCCAGCCCAGCCTCCTAGTTTTCAGTGATTAATGTCTGGACCAGAGAGGTTGATTCACTTGTTCAAAACCACACAGCTCAAATTATTGGCAGGATGGATTGAGAACTCGGAATTCCTGACCTCAAAACCACTTTGCCTTCCTAACCTCAAACTATTCTGCCCAGAGGATCTTTCTTCTTCTCAGGTTCCTTATGTGCTTGTGCTTCTAAAGACCAAAGAAGTCATATCCAAGAGCTCAGAGCAACCTTAAAGTTCTTATAGCTATTCATTATGTGAACACAGAGAGGCATTCCTGTAACAGGTCAGATTACAGTGGAGATGTGCTTGGGTATGAAATCAGCTTGTCTTTTCCCCAGGAAACTACTTTTATAGTAATGTTTCCTTAATTTGAAGTGTTTTGTTAAAAATAAATTAATCTGGGGCTAGGCATGGTGGCTTACACCTGTAGCCCCAGTACTTTGGGAGGACAAGGTGTGCAGATCACTTGAGGCCAGGAGTTCGGGACCAGCCTGAGAAACACGGCTGTCTATCAAAATGTATCTCTACTAAGAATACAAAAATTAGCTGGATGTAGTGGCACACACCTGTAATCCTAGCTATTTGGGAGGCAGAGGCATGAGAATTGCTTGAACCCAGGAGGCAAAGGTTGCAATGGGTCAAGATCACGTCACTGGATGACAGAGCAATACTCTGTCTCAAAAAAAAAAGTTAATCCGGACAAAAATAGTACCTATACAAGAGAGGCTAATCACAATACCGTACATTTTGATGGTTCTTCACTGTTTATAAAGTGCTGCCTGTATAATCTTGCATTTCTGTTCTTTTTTCTTCGTTTAAATTATTACTCTTTTTTTGAGACAGAATCTTGTTCTGCTGCCAAGACTGGAGTGCACTGGTGCAATCTTGGTTCACTGCAACCTCTGCCCCCCAGGTTCAAGTGATTCTCCTGCCTCAGCCTCCCAAGTAGCTGGGATCATAGGCACACACCGCCATGCTTGGTTAATTTTTATATTTTTAGTAGAGATGGGGTTTTATCATGTTGGCCAGGCTGGTCTTGAACTCCTGGCCTTAAGTGATCCTCCTGTCTTGGCCTCCCAGAGTGCTGGGATTACAGGTGTGAGCCACTGCACCCAGCCTATATTTCTGTTCTTTTAATATCAGTTAACTGACTTGCTAGATGTTAGTTTGCTGTTGGTAAAGGAAGTTTCAACAGTGTAATAATTGTGAGAGATGAAAGTGCAAAACCTCCTAATGATTCCAATGGAATGGAGTCTTCTTTGGCTTGGTGGAAGAAGTGATAGGCATGTAATAAGGCAGCATTATTGGCAGGGGCTGGACTACTGACCCACGTCTGTTTACCTATGCCCCACACCAGTCTGCACTCATTAGACCAGTGCAGCCATAATTTATTTGCACAGGAGGTGGCAGAGTGTATACTTGACCTCAGACATCAAACACTTAAGTTTTAAAAGTACTGAATTATGATATCAGCTTGGTTTCATAGGCTTTCAGGTGAGCTCAGAGCATAGAACAGGAGATACCCTAATCAAAGATTAACTTTTCATCACAGAAGCAGAAGGGTTTAAAGAATGCCCTGAGCTGACTGGTTATCTTAGGTATGTGATGCCAGGGGACACCCAGCCCTCCCTCTCTATGCTCCGTGTGCTCAGGCAAATGTCAACAGTGGACATTACCTGCCTTGGCTGGTTGACTTTTGCTCCTGAAGCCAGCAGTAATCGAATAACATCCAAGTAACCACCTTGGGCAGCTAGGAAGAGGGCAGTGGCTCCATCCTGAGAGAGAACAAATTAAAAGCATTAAAAACATTATCTTTCACATTTATTTTAAAAGAAATTAGGCCGGGCGCAGTGGCTCAGTCTGTAATCCTAGCACTTTGGAAGGCCAAGGCAGGTGGATCCAGGAGTTGGAGATCAGCCTGGCCAGCATGGTGAAACCCTGTCTCTACTAAAAACACAAAAATTAGACCAGGCATGGTGGCTCATGCCTGTAATCCTAGCACTCTGAGGTGGGTGGATCCCTGAGGTTAGGAGTTGGAGACCAGCCTAGCCAACATGGTAAAACCCTGTCTCTACTGAAAAAAAAAAAAATTAGCCGGGCATGGTGGCAGGTGCCTATAATCCCAGCTACTCCAGAGGCCAAGGCAGGAGAATCACTTGAACCCAGAGGCAGAGGTTGCAGTGAGCTGAGATCGTGCCACTTCACTCCAGCCTGAGCGAAACAGCAAAACTCCATCTCAAAAAAAAAGAAAAAGAAGCAACAACAAATAAAAATACAAACATTATCTGGGCATGGTGCCACATACCTGTAATCTCAGGTACTAGGGAGGCTGAGGCAGGAGAATCTCTTGAACCCAGGAGGTGGAGGTTACAGTGAGCCAAGATTGCACCACTGCATTCCAGCCTGGGCAACAGAGTGAGACTCTGTCTCAAAATAAATACATAAATAAAATAAAATAAATTTAATTTAAAATATACACATTTAATATAATTTTCCATCTCCATCTCTTTTTATGTTTCCACCTCTTTGTCAATTAAGAGCCAAATGTTGGATATACAAATCCCTCAAACCTCATTTCTAAAACATTTATTTATTTTTAATGTATTTTTAAATTTCTAAAAAAAAATTTTTTTTAAATTAACTGGGTGAGGTGGCATGTGCTTACTGTCCCAGCTATTTGCGGGGGCGGGGGGGGGTGCTGAGGCAGGAGGATCACTTGAGCCCGGGAAGTTGAGGTTACAGTGAGCCATGTTTGCGCCATTGCACTCCAGCCTAGGGAACAAAGTGAGACCCTGCCTCGAAAAAAAAAAAAATTGGGAGTAAAAGATATTCTTTTAATTATATCTTTCCTACCTTTTCTCTTTCTTGTCCCCTTATCCTCGTTCCCCCAATATGAGAGTTAAAATACAATATGCAGCTGTGCATGGTGGCATGCACCTGCGGTCCCAACTACTCAAGAGGCTGAGGAAGGGGGAATTGCTAGAGCCCAGGAGTTCAAGACCAGCCGTGGCAACATAGCAAGACACACACACACACTCTCTCTCTCTCTCTCTCTCTCGACAGGGTCTCACTCTGTCACCCAGACCTGGAGTGTAGTGGTGCGACCACGGCTCAATGCAGCGTCAACCTCCTCAGCTCCAGCGATTCTCTCACCTCAGCTTCCTGAGTTGCTGGGACTATAGGCAGGTGTGCACCACTACGCCCAGTTAATTTTTTAAAAGAATTTATAGTTGAGACCAAGTCTTGCTATGTTGCCCAGGCTGGTCTCACACACTTGGGCTCAAGTGATCCTCCTGTCTCTGCCTCCCAAAGCACTCACTAGGATTACAGGCATGAGCCACCACACCCAGATGACCCTGTCTCTAAAACATAAAAGAACCCTGTGAGATGTTTTCAATAAAACTGCCCTAAAAATAACCTCCACAAAGTGGCTCTCTGCCAGCCCAGCAGACACCAACAATACCTATAAACATAAAAAACCAATCCTGCATAAAGCCCAAAGCCAGTGCCCCTTTTCCAGTGCTCTTCAGTTTTCGTCTTAACTGAGAATCTGTGTCTTCTGGGCATTTCTCTTTTCTTGGATACATGTCATTTGGTGATTTCAACAGATACATCGATCAGCTGAGAGTGTGCATTCTCCCCAGATGCTCACTTCAGCCTGATAACATTCACAGCACGGGGTGAGCTTCACTGTTTTCAGACTACAGTGAAAACCAGAGCATACCCTAGAGGAAAGCACCTAGTGAACCTGGCTCATTACCACACCTGCTGGGAACACTAACCTCAAGCAAAAATATGACACATGTCCCTGCAAGTCCAGCCACGTGTGTCACATGGAGGGTCCTGGATTTCCAGTGGGTGTCAGCTGAGCTGCCAAACTGGCCTCATGGCGATCATTAAGAAATTAATCAGCCTCTACAGATTTTCAAGCAGGTGTTTTATATGTGGATAAAATTTTCAGAAAGTCTACAATGCCCTTAGCTGCTGAAAACTCTCAGGAATTTCTTTTTTAATTTTTTTTTAACTCTCAAAGAATTTTCCAAGATGAACTATCCATCCATTTTTCACTGTGCATTCCAAGTTCCAGTTCTACCCACCCACCCATATTTCAATTGTTTTTAAGGAAATATTTAGATTGTTTGGGTAAAAGTAAAGGTCTTAATGTAAAGTGGGAGTTATAATGCATGAAATTTCTTGAGTCACCTTAAAACAGAGAGGAATTTACTATGGAAAGGGGCTTTTCTTTTCCAAACACTTTGGCTCTTCCTACTCAGTGTGTGTGTGTGTGTGTGTGTGTGTGTGTGTGTGTGTGTGTGTGTATGCCCCACACACTCTCAGATATACTTTACCTATATATAGCCAAAGACATATCTAACCTTTAGACCCGTGTTTCTTAGATTTGGCTACATGTGAGAACTACCTGTTGTCCAAGCTGTGCCTTCAGAGACTCCAGTTTTGTTGGTCTGGGATGAGCCTCGAAATTGGTATTTTTTTAAACCTCCCCAGATGATTCTAATGGGCAGCCAGAGTTGAGAATTGCTTCTTTATTTAGATCATTATCAAGTAGTTCAATCATTCTACTGGTAATGTTGCAGGCTCAGAGTGTTATGGATTTTGAACTGCAGAGGGTAAGGCTAGTTACTATGAATTTCAAAGAGGCCTGTGATTTGTCAGGGTTAACCATATAAACTCTGGAAAGGGTGTTCAAATGGAAAAGTTCACACCTACACAGCTCATTACATGTCTATGAAAGTATAGTGCCCCAGGCATAAGGGTTAAATGTCTAGCTGTAGGACAGCCTAAAATATGGTTCATAGATAACTGGAAGTAGGAATTTTTCCACTCTTCACTAGGAGACTGTCAAGTCAATTCATCTCCCTATATTCTATTTTTTCCTACAAAACTAGAATAATATTTGCCATAAATCCTATGGCATTATAGTGACAATCAACTGAAAGAGTCGTTGGGTGATGTGCTAATTGCCAGTGAGCTGCAAATGACCCACACTGGCAGCGGGTGCCTTTCAAAGGTCAACAGCATGCACATATTTTACAGGCCTTCATCGTGTCACCTTTCTTCCAAATACCTTAGATTTCTCCTCTTTGTGCCCTTCCTCATAAACACTACTACCGTATATTTTGTATATCCAATGAGAACATTTAGAAAAATTTTGTATATTTTGATTTTCAGCAAGTCCATATGCTGGGCTTTGTGGTTTGTCATGATATGAATAAATATCACACGATTTTTGAAGGTCTTAATTGTATAGATACATGAAATGTTACACACAACAAATAGATTTAAAAGGGAGAACAAAGATGGGTAAATAAGATACATGGTTTATTTTTGCGGGAGATGGGGGTGGGGGGAGGGGAGACAGAGTCTCACCATATCACCCAGGCTGGAGTGCAATGGTGCGATCTCAGCTCACTGCAACCTCCACCTCCTGGGTTCAACAGATTATCCTGCCTCAGCCTCCTGAGTAGCTGGGATTACTGGCGTGTGCCACCATGCCCGGCTAATTTTTGTATTTTTATTAAAGACAGGGTTTCACCATGTTGGTCAGGCTGGTCTCGAACTCCTGACTTCATGATCTACCCACCTCGGCCCCCAAAGTGCTGGGAGGCACTGCATGAGCCACCACACCTCGTCCTGTGGACATATGTGAAGAAGTGATTGTCAACTCTGGCTGCCCATTAGAATCATCTGGGGAAGTTAAAAAAAAATACCAATTTCGAGACTCACTCCAGACCAACAAAACTGGAGTCTCTGAAGGCACAGCTTGGAAAACAGGTAGTTCGCACGTGTAGCCATGGCGTGAGCTACCGTGCCCGGCCAGATACGTGGTTTCTATATAAAAAAACCCATCTGGTCTGCTACATATTTTTCTCTTGACTCAGACCAAAGTCTTACTATCCATTAAATATTTTTGAATTGGCATTTTTGACATCTGAATTTAGACTGCAATTTTGTGCGTGATGAGGAATGTCCTAATGTCCCCCTGAAATGCACTCACATAAAGTTGGTCATGGATGTTTGCTCCATGCTTCAGCAAAGTCTCCACCACCTGCATATGCCCGTACTGACTGGCAGCCAACAGGGCGGTGCCTCCATCCTGTGGACATGCAAAGTATAAACACATTAGAGGCGGTGTAGGCACATTTTTCACCAAGCAGATGCTCCTCACATACACAGAATTTAGGAAAAGAGTTTTTCTAAAGATAATAACAACAAATTCACTTTCCCTCTTTTTTTTTTTTTTTTGAGATGGAGCCTCACTCTGGTGCCCAGGCTAGAGTGCAGTGGCGCGATCTCGTCTCACTGCAACCTCCGCCTCTCAGGTTCAAGTGATTCTCTTGCCTCAGCCTCCTGAGTTGCTGGGACTACAGGCATGTGTCACCATACTTGGCTGATTTTTGTATTTTTAGTAGAGATGGGGATTCACTATGTTGGTCAGGCTGGTCTCAAACTCCTGACCTCAAGTGATTTGCCTACCTCAGCCTCCCAAACTGCTGCGATTACAGGCATGAGCCACCACATTCAACCTACTTTCCCTCTTTTTTCCCTTTTACTTTTTTCTCTATAATTATGGCAGAGTTCATCCTAAGGACAGGGGTATGTTGTATATGTGGATGGCTCACTAGAGACATATTACAGTTATTTGACTATGTAATTTATTATAAATTAATTTAGAAAATTCCTATGCCAAATGCAGAATCATCTGTTTGCTTCTCAATATGAGAAACACAGAGCAGAAAGTCTGTACCAAGTCTTGTCAGTTCTTGGAATCAACGGAAAAGCTTCCTAGGGCTTCTGGCCAGAGACTCTCCTGGCAAACACTGTCTTCTCTGTGTGATATAAACCAGTGGTAGGCCACAGAGATTAAAATGTTTTTAATGGTGTAACCCTCTGGGGCTATTGCCCTCATGGGACAAGATCTGCACCCATTAAAAGAGCAGATAGCTATGGCACATTCTGTGTTTCTCTCACTTTGAACATGAGCCAATTTGTTCAGGCCTCTTTAAAAGTGTGGCCCTTAAAAGTAAGCAGAAGCCAGAGAACATGGCAAAACCCTATCCCTACAAATAATGCAAAAATTAGCCAGGGCATGGCGGTATGCACCTGTAGTCCTGCAACTTGGGAGGCTGAGGTGGGAGGATTGATTGAGCCCAGGAAGTGGAGGTTGCAGTGAGCCAAGATTGTACCACTGCACCCCAGCCTAGGTGATGAGCAAGACCCTGTGTCAGAAAAGAAGAAAGAAAGAAAAAAAAAGAAACCAATTAAGCAGAATACTGTAAACTGGTGCTCTGATGTGGAATGGGATATTCCTGTGTTCCATCTACTCTATTTTGATCTCTGCTGCCTAAATTAGAAAGATGTGGAATGGGATATTACTGTGTTCCATCTACTCTATTTTGATTTCTGCAGCCTAAATTAGAATGAGCTTTTCTACCAACCACATCACACTGCTCACTCATTGAGTTTGTGGTCAACTAAAACCCTTAATGGTTTTTCTCAGGTGCTATAGCTAAGGCATTCTCTTTTCCCATCGAGGGTTGTTGAATTGTTTGGCCCTTTGAACTGGACATCTGAGCTAATTATAATTCAAAAACACACAATCTGATTCTAAAATATGAGTCATAAATGTAAGATATTGTAGTTTCTAAATTTGGGCATAGGGTGTTTGTTCAAAATGCCTACTCATAGCGCCCCACCCTCAGCCCCGCCTTCAGTAGGTCTGGGGTGAGATCCAGAAATATGCCTTTTGACCAGTCATGTGGGTTGATTGTGTGGGGAGATGGCAGGTGAGCCTCATGTGGAGAAACACTGCTATAAGAGGTCTCATGTTCATAGGCAGGTAATATCCCACAGGGCTGTGTGTGATGTGGCTAGGTAGGGCTTCCCCAGGGACTGGCTCTGTGGTGGGGGAGGGTGCTTGAGATGGACTTCGAAGAGTGGGGAATGGAGAGGAAGGAGACTGAAGGCTGAGGCTGTGGTGGATGGTGGTGGTGGGGAGGCATCACTAAATTGCATAACAGCAGGAATAAACACCATTTCTAAGCTTTGTCCTGTCAGTTTTCCTAGCTCTTTGCCCAATAAAGTAACAGAAAAGATAAAATATGATGATTCTCATACAGAATTAAACTGTATGTATGTCAGGGTCTTGTTCTGTTGCCCAGGCTGGCTGCAGTGGTGCAATAATGGCTCCTTGCAGCCTTAAACTTTTGGGCTCAAACAATCTTCCTGCCCTAGCCTCTTGAGTAGCTGGTACTACAGGTGTATGCCACTGGGCCAGCTTTTAAAATATTTTTTACTTTTTGTATAGATGGGGTATGCTATGTTGCCCAAGCTGGTCTGGAACTCCTGGAGTCAAGCAATCTTCCCACCTCAGCCTCCTGAGCAGCTGCCATCACAATACCTGGCTAATTTTTTAAAAAATGCTTTATAGAGATAGGGTCTTGCTACATTGTCCTGGCTGGTCTCCAACTCTTGGTCTCAAGCAATCCTTCCACCTTGGCCTCCCAAAGTGCTGGGATTACAGGTGTGAGCTATCACACCTGGCCTCTTTTATTTAATTTTTAATTTTTTTTTTTTTGAGGCAGGGTTTCACTCTGTCATCCAGGCTGGAGTGTAGTGGCACAATCATGACTCACTACAGCCTTGACCTCCCAGGCTCAAGTGATCCTCTCATCTCAGCCTCCCAAGTAGCTGGGACTACAGGCATATGCCACCAGACCTGGCTAATTTTTGTATTTTTGATAAAGACAGGGTTTCGCCATGTTGCCCAGGCTGGTCTTGAACTCCTGGGCTCAAATGATCTGCCTGCCTCAGCCTCCCAAAGTGCTAGGTGTCAGCCACCATGCCCAGCCTTTTTTATTTTTAAAAACACAGTTTTGGGGCATATAGATTTAGTAATAACGAGAACAATTGTTGAAGCAAAGTTTTGATTACAAGATCATATAAAACTCAAGCCTCTCAGCCATCTCTTCTTCCCATGGAAAGCTCTTGGATACTTGCAGCTGAAAGCTCTTGAAAACCTGCAGAATCGCTCATCCTGGGTTACATGTTCCATGGATTTCTGGGATAGTACAAACTGGCTCATACACAAAGTCTTTAGCCAGTATTAACTTGTGAACCAAGCAGACTGAAGCAGTCATATGGTCACTCATAATCATTGTGACCTTAGTTCAAAGAGTTGAGATCTAGGTTCACAGAACTTTACTTTCCATTTTTAGTTACCTCGCTTTTATAATAGAAAATAAAACAATAATGTATAAAATATATAGTATTACTGTATGTTATACTCAGTACATTTGGAGGCATATACATAGCACAAGAGCAGGTTTCAGAAAAGACAAAACCTTATATGAAATTCACATCTACTTAATGGTTAGAATTTTATTATTTATTTACTTTAAATTTTTTTTGAGACAGGGTCTTCCTTTCTGACCCAGGCTGGAGTGCAGTGGCACAACCATGGCTCACTGACGCCTTGACCTCTCAAACTCAAGTGATCTGTGAGCCATGTGCCACCACACCCGGCAAATTCTTTTTTTCTTTCTTTTTCTTCTTCTTTTAAATAGAGACAAGGGCTTGCTTTGTTGCCCAGGCTGGTCTTGAACTCCTGAGCTCAAGCTATTCTCCTGCCTCAGCTTCCCAAAGTGCTGGGATTACAGGCATGAGCCACCTTGGCCAGCTCCAGTAGTTACCATTCCCACTGGAAACCCCCTTGATATCTAAATAGTACACCAAAAGGATTAACTAAGAAAACCTAAAAATTTCCAACTTGGGCATATTTTAAGGAATTTAACAATTATAATTAAGCTAGAAATGAGCTGATAATTACAAAAATCTTATGGCAGTTCAAATTCTGCTACTACACAATTTTATCATGTAAAATCATACTGTGAACACGAAATTGACCTTTCTCCAGTTCAGCTTTCTTATCTGTATGTCAAAAATGAAAATCAATTACTTCTTTTTGTTTTTTGAGATGGAGTCTTGCTCTGTCACCCAGGCTGGAGTGCAATGGTGAGATCTCGGCTCACTGCAACCTTGGCCTCCCAGGTTCAAGAGATTCTCCTGCCTCAGCCTCCTGAGTAGCTGGGATTACAGGCGTGCACCACCATGCCTGGCTAATGTTTTTTGTAGTTTTAGTAGAGACAGGGTTTCACCATATTGGTCAGGCTGGTCTCGAACTCCTGACATAGTGATCTGCCTGCCTCAGCCTCCCAAAGTGCTGGGATTACAGGTGTAAGCCACCGCACCCGGCCAATTACTTCTTTAAAGGAAGAACCACTATATAGTTTCCCAACTATATAAACTGTAACTATGTATTATGTATTTCAGTGAGGATAGCTCATCAAAGTAAGCTGCCTGCCAAACTACCCTCTTTAGAAATCTCTCAGATCTAGTAGGTTCAGACTAATTCTTCCAATAATTCCTATCACAGTATCAAAATTAATCTTAAGTGGGGAAAAAGCACACGGAAACAGGGAAAGTTAGAAAGCCACTGCTACTGTGCCCCTCCTGGTTACAAAATTTAGTGTTCTACAGTAGAAAGGTATCAGTTCAGGAAAGGATATAAATAATTCCCCATAAAATTTTCCAGTTGTGAACCCAGAGTAAAACTGTCATGCTTTGAATCAAACCCTTAGAACTACCCCTGAACCATTACAAGTAACCTTAAGGAAATCCACTTACTTAGGTTTGAAATCTTGTAAAAAGGAAAACACAGAGTTGTACCATAGATGAAGGGAAAAGCAATACCTATGGCTGCTGAAATTCTTCAGAATACAAAATCAAGAAGGTTATCTTACTTTGGTCCTAAATTCAGTGGATGCTCCAAATCCAAAGAGAAATCTCACGACATCATTATGGCCTTGCTGGGCGGCAAAGAATAGGGCAGTTGTACCTGACTGAGAGAGAGGGAGAGGCTAGTTTTAAAAGACATTTGGTTATATTACATTTGGATTGAACATCTGCAAAGAAAGCAAAACAATATCCTTGTATATAAACCTTCTCGCCTAGGAAGGGGCTACATTTCAACATTCTTATTTTTTGGTCAGAGAAGTGACAACAGAAAAGGAAAGCTTTATTCTTAGTGAAATAGGATGAATGGTAGCTCCTCAAAAGATTTGTCCTCATCCTGAAACTCGTGAATATTACCTTCTATGGCAAAAGACGTGATTCAGTTAAAGGTTCTGAGAAGAGCTTATCCTGGATTACCTGGGTGGGTCCTAAATCTAATGACAAGCGTCCTTCTAAGAGTGAGACAGAGGCACTACTCACAATAGCTAAAAATGTGGAAGCCACTTAAGTGACCATCTATGGATGAATGGACAAGCGAAATGTGACATATCCATACAATGGACCATTACTTAGCTAAAAAGGAAAGGCAATTCTGACATATGCTACATGGATGAGCCTCCATGACATTATGCTAAGTGAAATAAGCCAGTCACAAAAGGCCAACAACTCTATATGATTCTACTGTGAGATCTTTTATTCATTCATTCATTCGAGACAGAGTCTTGCTCTGTCACCCAGACTGGAGTGCAGTGGTGCCATCTCAGCTCACTGCAACCTCTGCCTCTCAGGTTCAAGTGATTCTCATGCCTCAGCCTCCCAAGTAGCTGGGATTACAGGTGCACACCACCACACCTGGCTAATTTTTGTGTTTTTAGTAGAAACAGGGTTTCACTATGTTGACAAGGCTGGTCTTGAAGTCCTGGCCTCAAGTGATCTGCCCACGTTGGCCTCCCAAAGTGCTGGGGTTACAGGCATGAGCCACTGCACCTGGCCTTTTGTGATATCTAAACTGGTCAGAGTCATAGAAACGGAAAGTAGGATGCTGGTTGCCAGGGCCTGGGGGAAAGGGAAATATGGGAAGTTATTATTTAATGGATTCAGAGTTGCAGTTTTACAAAATGAAGAGTTATAGAGATAGATGGATGGTGATGTGATTGTACAACATTATGAATGTATTTAATAAGACTGAACTGTACACTTAAAAATGGCCAAGAAGGTAAGGTTTACATTATATGCATTTTACCACAGTGAAAAACAATAATTATTTTTTAAAAAGAGAGGCAAAGGATGACAAGGCATGGTGGCTCATGCACTTTGGGAGGCCGAGGCAGATGAATTGCCTGAGGTTGGGAGTTCAAGACCAGCCTGGCCAGCATAGTAAAACCCCATCTCTACTAAAAATACAAAAGTCAGTTGGGCATGGTGGCACATGCCTGTAATCCCAGCTATTTGGGAAGCTGAGGCAGGAGAATCACTTAAGCCTGGGAGGTAGAGGTTGCAGTGAGCTGAGATTGTGCAATGCACTCCAGCCTGGGCAACAGAGCAAGAATCCATCTCAAAAAAGACAAAAAAAAAAAAAAAAGTGAGGCAGAGGGATATTTGACCCAGAGAGAGGGCAATGTGACCACATAGGCAGAGACTGGAGAGCTGTGGCCATGAGGAGGGTGCTGACAGCCACCAGGAGCTGGAAGAGACAAAGAAGGGAATCTCCCCAGGAGCCTCCAGAATGAGTGTGGTACAGCCCACACCTTGATTTTGGACTTCTGGGCTCCAGATCTGAGAGAATAAATTCCTAATGTTTGAAACCACCCATTTGTGCTAATTTGTTACAGCAGCTTGAAAACTAAAGATATTTGTTATACTGTTTGGTAAACACAAGCATTCATTAATAGAGGGAAGAATTCCAATTACAAAGTTTAGTGCCCCGGGGTAGAAGACTACTTGTACAAGAAGGAAAATACGTAATTCACCCACAAACTTCTCTAAATGTGCAAGCCCAGAGTAAAAATGAGCTTAAAACATTTCTTAAAATGTGACATAATAGTAAGAAACAGCCTGATTCCAACATTTAAACTGATCATGATATTCTGAGACACAGTTTTTAGCATGCTTCTTATCTACTTTTGCAAGCCTGCTCAAAGATTGTTATTCAAACCATTGTGTAATATGAGCAAAATCATGATACCATTTTTGTGGGCAACATACATTTTTCCTGTAGTGATACTCTTCACTTCTGAGCTTGGAGCTTGGGACAAAGCTAACACTACTCTTTACCAGGCACAGTGAAAAGAAACCCCTTTTTCCATAGTTTACCCAAAGTTGTTAAGGTGGTAGGTCTCACTCATGTGTGAAAAGCATATGTGTGTGCGTGCATGCATGTGTGGGATGGGAGTGAGGACAGTAAGACCCACTGAGACAGGCAGGATCCACCCACCTGGTTGCCTGTTTTTTAATGTGGTCTAGAAAAAAAAAGCCCCTTACTCAAGCTGTAGCTTGCCTAACTTCCCACTGATGGCAGCGGTGACCTGTCTGGAGAAGCAGCTATGAAGATGCAGGATGCCAAAGGGGAGGTGCAGCTGGGGTTGCATGCTCCTCAGGTCCAGCGGGAGCTGGAAGCAACTTATGAGTTGGCTGGGTGGGAGCAGCCATGCCCAGCTGTGGCTCTGGTTTTGGGCATCCCTGTGTTCTCTGGGCCTGGGAAGCCCCCACCCCCTGCCCCTGCAGGCTTGGAGGTGCCTGCTCTTGCTCCCTGGCCTCTTCCCACTCCTGGCACCTGCTCCGGTGTGAAGCAAAGTTGTAGCTGAGCCTGGGTACTGTCTGTCATGACCTGGCTGGGGGTATGCTCACTTGAGGTGTGCGTGCTTGAGGTGGTGCTGACGTGCCAGCCCAGCCCCCTCACCTTGGTCCTCTCTGGACTTTGGGTGCCAACAAGCACAGGAGGGAGGCCAAGGGGCTGAGGGCAGCTAGGTGTGGGCCTGTAGACACCCTTGGCAGGAACAGTCTGGATGGCTTGTTGATGGTGGGAGGCAGACAGGTTCCCACCCATGGCTGCCCATGGACCAATTAACACACACTTCTTCCTTTCTGAGCCCATAAAAACCCCTGACTCAGCCAGATTCACACAGATGTCTGGACTACCAGCTGCTGGAAGGATCTACCCACTGTGGGTCTCCTGTCCACTCAGAGCTGGACACAGAGGTCAGGACTACCGCTATGGGATGGAGCTATCCATTTTAGGTCTCCTCAAATTGTCAGGATGACCTGTCGGTGGAAAGGAACTACCCAATTTGGGTCTCCTGAGAGCTCTTCTGTCACTCAGTGAAGCTCCTCTCCACCTTGCTCACCCTCCAGTTGTCTGCATACCTCATTCTTCTTGGATGCAAAAGGAGAATTCAGGACCTGCTGAATGTCCCTGTTTATAAACAAACAGAGCTGAAACAAGCTCCCTGCTCACCACATTGCAGGTGAAGAGGAGTGAGGAGCTGTGGCCTTTTGTGGAACCTAGACCCAGGGACTCCCCAAACCAGGGCTGTGATACCCTCTTTGGGGCTCTGTGGTTCCTGGCGTCTCCAAGCTTCCAGGCACCACCATGTTCCCTGGTGCCTATGGTAGAAGCCACTTGGGGTACGCATGGTCCAGCTGCAGCCTCACACAGAGCTGGCGCTTGTGCCAATGTCTGGAGCTGCCTGCCTCACCACAGCCGGCATGCCTGGTTGTGTGCAGCGGCTGGACCCCATGCTTGCTCACATACCTGGCTTGCCCTTGGCAGGCCCAGAATCTGGGCTGGTAGTGTGAACTGAGAGCAGGCTGCTGGGCCGAGAGGGCAGAATGAGCCCAGTGGGCCTGAGCAATACTCAGGCAGAAGGCACTGCCAGCCACGGAGGTTTCCAGCTGGCAAAGTGACACCCTAAGGATCCTATGACAGTCAATCAGCAACAAAAGACCCAAGAAACTAACTACAAGTTCTCACTTTAGGTGGGTAGGGACTTCCTGGGGCCCTGCATGCACAGTTAGACTTAAACTTCAAATTATAGTCACCTCTTCCTTATCTTAATGCTAAAATCATGCCTGAAGATGGAGATTTAAAATGCTAATATTACATGTGATGCATGAAAAGTATATTGAGCTACTGTGCAAGTGCTACAGAAACCCCTCCTATACATGCCCCGACTAAACCCTTCCCTATAAAAAGATCCTATAAAACCAACCCACATATGTCTCTTGGGGAACAGCCAACCCTTTTTCTTTCCATAATGGAACCTGGTTCCCTCATGCACAAGCTAAATAAACTTTCTCTTTGCCATCTGATGATCTCTCTGGACTTCTATCCTGGGAGAGTACAAGAACCGAGGGTGCTGATAACACCACCCCTGAGGCAGAACATGTAACACCTTCCCAGATAGATACAACCCACTACATCAGGCTGTGCCTCAGGAAGGCACAGAGATCTTGAGACTCTGCCCCAGGAAGGCACAGGCATCGTGACCATTCACAGGGCCTTTCTATCTGCAATGCAGATGTGATTTTCTCCTTGGTTCTCACAGAAATACGTGGGAAGTATCTTCCCACAGCTTTGTTACAGTTAAGGATGCCGGGTTCCAGAAACCTTAGGGAGTCAACAGTTCTGGAGGAAGAAACTTGGCTAGAATAGGAAAACTCTCACCTTCTCAATAGACACTACATTTCAGATACTACCAAAGGTCTTTTCCAGGAGTTGTTTCTTTAGTAAGAAAAATAATTTGTTTTTCAATAAGCTTTCTTGATACATTAATTATGTAATTACAGCAGTTTGAGCCAATTTTAGACCATACATACTATCAATCATTCTGTACCTTAATGCAGCAATCTGTAGATAAGAGGAGCTAGACCTTAGTGTTGAATGTGAATAAAACTTTTAAATATGTGTGCCTTACTACACAAACCCAGGGCTTCATGCCAACCGCATTTGTAGCTCCTATGCCGGAGAGGTGTCACCAGCCAATGTGGGTTCTTTAAAGCAATAGTCTTTCAGGAACACTAGCTTCCAGTTTGTCTCTCTAGCAAGCTCTGTGTATTTAGACAGCCAACCTGAGCAAGGAGTGGCAGGTAGTTTTTTTAGGAGACAAATATTCTGATATTGCAAAGTGGATCAAGGATTAACAATGGATCAAGGCAGAAGTCTGCCATCAGATTAAGTTTCAAAGCACTGCAAGTCACTCTTCTAGCTTCCAACACTGGTACAGGAGGCTGGGGTCTGCCTTTGACTTGGCAGCCCTCTTGCCCCAGACTGGCACAGTCCCAGGAAATTCAGGGACTGCCAGGAACTTACATAGCACCATCATTTGAGCCACACAGATTACCTCTAAGCTGAGTACACTTTGGTAAATCTTCAAAGGCTTTTGTTCTCTGTAGTTTCATCTCCAAGATTAGTTGAGCAATTGGAACCAAATGGATACATATAAAACCATAAAAACCATAGACTGGCTACAAATCAAATACTTCTCTCTTCTTCTAGCTGCTTTTCTCAGTTGTTTCAGAGATTTTTGTGCACATTGAATTGTCTGTCAGGATAAAGTTTTTAAAGTAAACCAGATCTGGACCATATTGTTTTGATTAGAGAAAATCTGTCTTTTCTTTAAAGTTGTAATAAACAAAGACTATAAAACGGAGAGGAAAAATGGAAAGATGAAAGTAACTTTAAACTATAATTCTAAATGGGTCCAGATATTTTCATCCCACAGGAAAATTAAGTGCTGAAGTGAAAATGACCTCAAACAACGATCTAATGTTATGGAAATTGCACCAAAGAATCTGTTTGTGAGAATATTACATTTGCTGTAGTCTCTTTATACTGCACCTCTCAATAGACCAGGCTTGTTGATTCAGGGCTACGAAGACCCAGACCCAGATTCTGTATGTCACTCTTTCATGGTCCTCAGCCAAGGCCTCTAATACCCAGACGGGTGATGGGAAGGACATCTGGATATGCCTTGGAACTCTATTTTTGAGTCAGGGTCTTGCTGTGTTGCCCGGGCCGGAGTGCAGTAGTGCAATCATGGCTCACTGCAGCTTGGAACTTCTGGGCTTAAATAAGCCTCTAACCTCAGCCTCCCAAGTAACTGGTACTATAGGTGTGGGCTACCACATCAGGCTAAATTTTTAAGTCTTTTTATAGAGATGGGGTCTTGCTATGTTGCTCAGGCATACGTTACACCTGGAACTCTTGATGTGTCTTAATTTGTTCTACTCAGAGGTGATGGTCCAGACTGGAAGAAAGATATACCAGCTTGATGAAAGTTTGGTTGGTGAACTGTTTTTCTAAAATGTTGCAAGGCAGGACCTGGGATAAAATAAGGCTGGGCCAAGAAAATCCAAGTGGTTCAGTCTGGACTTGCCCAGAAAGCCCATCTCAGGTCTGAGTCAGTGTGAAATGAGGTCAGATGCACTCTAGGGATGACCTGAGCATTTGTCTCCACAAAGATTTGTTTACCAGGTCCCAGGTCAGCTTGGAAATATATGAATGGAGCCTTCTTAGAACTAAGCCCCACAGTATGTTAAAATGTCCTGGCCTCCCTTCTGCTTCTCTAGATTAAACTAAGGATGGATTTTTGAGTGAGACCAAACTCTCAAGATTGTCCTTGAATGAAGTATGGGAACAGGCTCACATTCTAGTCCAATGTTCACCCACATGGCTTTTTTCAGGAGAGCATATTTAATCCATGGTCAGAGAGAAGTCCTTTGAAAACATGGTTTGGGGAGGATGATTGAGACATCCTAGCAAGTGAGCAACCTCACTTGCAAATCATTACAAATCCTAGCAACCTCATTACAAATAGGTTGGTGACTCAACTCTTCTAAAAATATAATTATCTGTATGAAAATGCTATAAATCCTACAGTATCTCATTCCAAGGGAAAAATGAAGAACTGACTTAAGCTGACAAAAAAATTGTATGAGTGTTTATGGGCAGGTAGTAAGAGGTTTGGTTACCTCAGATGTGCCCGCTGGTATGTTGCTGGACCTCATTTTAGGCACAATAAACTCTGCAATGGGCTTTAACGTGGGAGAAAAGCAATGATGGCTCTTGTCCCCCATACCAGTTCACTATCATGAAAACTTCAGATCTCTGAGCCTGGTCATTTTTCTTCAAGTGCAAAGCCTGACCTACCTCTCTCTGGAGATTGATGTCTGCTCCTTGCAGAACCAGCTCCCTCACACAGTCTATGTGGCCAGCATAGGCAGCAACCATCAGGAGTGTGGTGCCGTGCTGGATGGAGGAGAGACAGAGGAACAGTTAGGCCACTGTTACGTCAGGGAGAAGGGTCCTAGGAAAGACGCTGCAGAGATGTCAGCTCCACTCAGAAAACATCCAAGGGCAAATTTCCCTGCAGCGAGGAAAGTACTCATGAATAATCTCATCGTGCAGTCTAGATGGGAAAAAGCAAAGTGACAAACTGCTGAGGTTGGGATTTTTGATGTAAAAATTCACTTACTTCCATTACCTTCAGAAGCACAGTCCAAATGAACCATAGTTATTGCATTTTAAGGCAGCAATGATATAATGCTCTCATTTTACGAGTCCTATTAAATTATTCTGGAGCCAAAATATTGTTATTAATATAAAAGAAACATTAATGGTACCATCTGATTTTCTGTATTTAAGTCTTCATCATCAAAACAGTTCAGGTAAAGATGTACAGCACCATAGTGAAATGAGAGACTAGAGAGCTGAGAGTCAGGAGCCGTGGGGGCTAAGCCCACCTCTGTCACTGACCAACAGTGTAACCTGGGCACGTTGATTACAATTACTTGGACTCGTTTATTTCATTTTTAAAATGAGGGGTTGGATGGGATGATCACCAAAGTCTCTCCCAGCTTTAACATTCAAGGACTTGAGGTGTACCATGTGATATGGACCCTTCTCATTGAAGTGGGCATTTGTAGTTTGATTTACAATTGTTGTCAAGCGCTTGAATTGTCATCTTAGCTACCACCTCTGCATATTCAGCAACCTGCCTCTCAGAAGTAGATGGTGAGAGAGACAGATGGCTCTGCACACAGGGGAGGCTTATTAGGTATAGGGTAATGAAGTGAATTTTGGAGGCGCTGTGTTATTTTCATCTAAAGATTTTGTAGGAAGGCAGTATTGCTGAGTAGTCACTGACGGTATGATCTTGGGCACATGATACTATTTATTGGAAAAGTTTGAACAGTCATACTTGAGACTAGGAACAATTCCTAAGGAAGCCCTCTTAGCCTCTCCTTGAATTTCAGGGGCTCTCACAGGCCTCCTAGGTGAACCTGGGGCTTGGCTCTGTTAGCAATGGTAGTACTAGCGGAGAGATCAATTAGCACCATAAAATACCATCCTGGGACTGGGACTCCATGTTCACGTGGCACGTGGAGGAGACAGAAACCCAGCCAGTGACATTCTGAGGGTAACAAAGGCCTGTACTGTTTCCCAACAGCTCCCTGCCTCTCAGTCACACCAGCCTCAGAGGCCCTTTCAAAGTAAATGGGGTATCAGAAATTACCATCATTTAGACTTGCTCCTTTGGGTTAAGGAATCATCTCTCCAGAAAGCTCCTGATAAAATAACTTTTTGTTTAAAACAAGGAGGGGTAACTTACATATTAGTATCTATTCAAGGAAGCACAAATTTGGTCAAAATATCTACTGGCCACCCAGCAGACAGGACAGAGCATGAGCGCTAAGGGAAAGGAGCTGGTGGCTCAAGTGATGGCTGACGTGGAAAGGGTGATGAAAAGGCTGGAAATGTGAGGTGCCGTCTGGGGGCAGAATGCATGCAACACTGCAAGGTGGCCCTGGGGAGCTGGAAGCCAGGAGAAAGTCCTGGGGTGTCTGAAAGGGGTGGCTTCAAGAAAAAGAGGAAAAGTGGTCATCAAAGTGGTCAATGGGTGAGGCCACAGTGACAATTGGTGTTTCTGCCCTACAGTTTTTCCACTGTGGTGTAAGAACCAGCCCCGTAAAACCCATATAAGACCAAGATAACCAGTTCACAGATGTCCAAGACCCCGCACCAGCCTGAATTCTGGCAAGGAACAGATGGTACATTCTATCTGGGATAATTGGAAGAAAATGTCATAAAGAGACTATTAAGCTGAGGCCTGGGCACAGGGAATCTATAAAGAACAGCATACTACTGGGATCTACGAACAGTGGGGGTCCATGACCAGCTGAGGCCTGAAGTTGTCAGGGGAAGGGAGTGGCTCCCAGCACGCGGAGAATGGAGGTGGGGCACTGCTGCCAGACAGAAACAGGGAGGGCGCTGGGCTCCCTGATGTCCCTCTCCTCCCACCCTCTGACTCTTACAGTTACTCCTACGGGCCAAACACAACTGGAGGCCAGAGGGAAGTGAGTCTGCTGGGGCAGTACATACAGTTCAGGCTGTGAGACCAAGAGTGAGAAGGGTGTGGAGTGGGTCTGGAGGTGTAAACAAAAGATATCCTGCCCTGATGCCCTGGGTGGGGGTGGGGGGCAACTGGAGCAAACTGCTATTTTGCTTTTGGGATGGTGGTGGACTTCACTTACCAAATGTGTGCAATAAAAGCTGGAAATGGCACACCCTATTTTCAGGAAAACAGAAAAAACGACTTCAAAACATTTTTATTCAAATCCTAAAATCAAAACATCATTGCTTGCTCCCTCTCCTCATCGGAGGTCCTCTTGGTCCCCAGAGTTGAGAAGTCTTGCTGAGCGCAGTAAAATGATTTGCCTCTAGCTGGGGAGGGGAAGGCTCTCTAAGTGGTATCTGCTAGGGGGCAGTAGTATCTATTTTTAGTTCACCTTCTAAATTGCCAATGAGTGTATTTATGTTTGTAAGAGGTAATGAAAGGATAAAAGGCTGGGGGAGGCTTCAGTTTTTGTTTTCTCATCCTTGTAGAAAAAACATAACTCCCACAACCATGGCAGCCCACTAAATTATCTCCATCTTTTCATGAAAGCTGTTGGCTTGAATTCTTTCACTAAACAGTCTTTTCTTCTTGTAATCTACCAATTCTGATCCCCAGTGAAGTGCCTCTTTCCCTATTGTGGCTGCCTTCTGTTTTGTGCATTTAATTGTTTCCTTTTCTTTCTGACTTTCCCCAGCATGTATTTAGTTCACCACAGCACCTTGGATGTTTTAAAAAGGATGAAGCAAGCAAACACATGAACAAGTAAATAAGCATTGTAAAGGGAAACGTATTCCTGAGGTGCTCCTGTGCCCACACAGGGCAATGGTGCGCACTGGGCATGCATCTACCAAACCCATCATCGTACGCTGTCTCTGCAGTCCACGTCCACCCGGCCGCTGTTCAACAACAGCTTCAGCAGCGCCAGGTTTCCTCTCCTGGCTGCCCAGAATGCGGCATTGGCAAGCGGAGTTTCCTTCTGCAAGAACAAAATGAAACAGGATCTTAAAATTGATTCCAGTGAACATGACTGCTTCTACGCATATAGATAATAACATTCAGAAAGGAGAACATCCAGATGTGTTGTATCATTTGAAAGACTGCTCCTCCAGCAATAGACTACTGTAATATACTTGGTTATAGAATGAACTCTGTTGGATTCCAGACACCTGAGCACCATATGGCTATGAAGAGCACTGTTGTTGATAATCCAGCACTATTAATAACCTATTTCCCACTAATGTTCTCACTTTCCTGCCTCTGTTGTGTTTTTGTTCACCCAGTTTCCTTTTTGCTTGAAATGAATTTTGCTCCATCCTTCAAGGCCAAGGCTCTGCTCAAATGCTATTTCCTCCCAGAAACATTCCAAATCTTTCTTCATCTCTAAGTGGAGCAAAATGTCTCCCAATTCTGACCTCTCAAAGGAGTTTACCTGCCCTTCTTTTCCTAAGCCCTCAATGCTTTCTATCTGATTCCATTACCTGTGTGGAATGTTTCACTTTCCCTCCATCTAATCTCCTTTGCTTCAGCTGAAACTTGCCAGAGGTTTGAGTTGAGAACAAAGAACTTGGGGCAAATAATGCCATTACATGTCCTCATATGGATCCTTCATTCCACCATTGGATCATTTTGTTTGTTTGAGACAGGGACTCATTCTGTTGCCCAGGCTGGAGTGCAGTGGCATAGTTATGGCTCACTGCAGCCTAGACCTCTCAGGCTCAAGCCATCCTCCCACCTCAGCATCCTGAGTAGCTGAGACCACAGGCATGTGCCACCATGCCCAACTATTTATTTTATTTTTAGTAATGACAGGGTTTTGCCACATTGCCCAGGCTGGTCTCGAACTCCTGGGCTCAAGCAATCTACCTACCTCAGCCTTCCAAAGTGCTGGGATTATAGACATGAGCCACTGCACCAGGCCTGTGGGGTTATTTTAAAGCTACAAAATTAATTTTAGAACCATACCTATGGAAATCATGGAAGTGGAAAACAGGTCTTCCAAATAGGTGGCAGAGCTGACTGCATAAAATCTCCTTCTCTAAAATAATTGATTTGAGTCTGTAGAGAACAATCCATGAGAGGGAGGAACTGGCTTTGGGACCAGACAGCTCTGGGTTTCACGCCAGCCCTGGACAAGTAACTTGGCTCTTGGGAGTCTCAGTTTCCTCTTGCTTACTTACCTTGAAGCTGACAGTATTAAATGATGTTGATTTTTGCCTAATATAGTACCCAACACACTATAAATGCTGATTAAATAAATGCTAGTTTCCTTTCCTCTGTTCTTTACAAAATCAGAATCAATAGGCAAAATTAAATTCAGAGTACTGGTACTAATAAAGAATTTTGATGGTCATTAGGAGCTTTTATAAAAGCATTCACATTATTTAATAAAAGCATTTTTTGCAAGTGGGTTTAAAACATCTATCTGACTCCAAAGGCCTTTTGCACAGTATGTCTTTTAAATATATTGATATTGTATTAAATACAATGCTTCTCTAAGCTCAAAAGAAAATATCAACTATTTCAGCTGCTCAACAGAGCCCTCTAAAATAAAAGGACAGTGGCAGCAGTATTTGTGGGGATGAGGATTTCATATCAGAAGTCCTTCAGCACATACACAGGCATATGCTCTTGTGCATACTTGAATGAGAGAACGGCAAGGTGGGGAGTGATAAGCTAATAGCAAACATATTTCAAATAGTTTCCTCGCTCATTTAGGAGGAAAATAAATCACCTCCAATTTCAGATTAACATTTTGCCTTTTCTGAAGCTGTAAATTTTGCTGTCCTGGAGTTTTCAAGCCAAACTGCAACCATGGTGTTCACACCAGCATTGCAGTTTAGGCACCAGGCTGGGTCTGATTTGTTCCAGCTGTCAGTAACTGGCGAAGCAATGACAAGGGAGGTTTGACCTCTATAATGAATCATGAAACAAAGCCTTTTAACAAAGAGACTGCACAAGGCCAAAGCGAAGTCAGGGAGGGTGAACCAGGCAGACAATGTAATATGCACCAGGGAACAGCTCTGCTAGCTTTTCTTGAAAGGTAAATACACAAGAATGATAAACTGTAATTCATTCTCAGGGACTCTGTCATTTCACTTTAACCCCAAATACCTTCAAAAAACCATCTGCAAACAGCAAGTGTCTATTGTCATAACAAGATCTCTAGCCAGGGCCTCTCCTCCCTTTAGGATGGTCTTGGGGATTCCTATCCAGCTGGGCTGGACATCCTGGTTTCCTATAAGGTTCTGGAAACTGAGCTTTGTGAAAAGCTATAAATATTTCATCTTCTTTTGGGCTTAATTTACTGAGAGGCAGAGGCATGACAGAGTAGTTGGTTTGGGGGTAAGAAGAAGCTGGGTTCAATCTGGACTACTTCCTAGCTCTGTGACATTGGGCATTTTTTTTTATTTGAGATGGAGTCTCTCTCTCTCTGTCACCCAGGCTGGAGTGCAGTGAGTGGTGTGATCTCAGCTCACTGCAACCTCCACCTCCCTGGTTCAAGCATTCCTCCCACCTCAGCCTCCCAAGTAGCTGGGATTACAGGGACATGCCACCACACCCAGATAATTTTTTTTTTTTTTTTTTTTTTTGAGACAGAGTCCTGCTCTTGTCACCCAGGCTGGAATGCAATGGTGCAATCTTGGCTCACTGCAACCTCTGCCTCCCTGATTCAAGTGATTCACCTGCCTCAGCCTCCCAGGTAGCTGGGATTACAGGTGCCTGCCACCATGCCTGGCTAATTTTTGTATTTTTAGTAGAAATGGGGTTTCACCATGTTGGGCAGGCTGGTCTTGAACTCCTGCTCTAAAGCGATCCATCCCCCTCAGCCTTCCAAAGTGCTGGGATTACAGGCATGAGCCACTGCACCCAGCCTGAGCCACCACACCCAGCCAGAGCCACCACACCCAGCCAAGTGATTTAATAATAACAGAGTGCCTCTCTTAGGCAGTATAGGAGAATTAAATGAGATGATCACATAAATATACTTAGTACACACTCAAAAAAATAGTAGCCATAAATGCACAGCCCTAATGGCTCTTTAAGATACTTGTCCAGGAAAATTCATTTACTTGGTCACTAGCAGGTACCAGGAACAGTGGCCCTGGCCAGGGGCTAGGACTAGAGGTAGGAGTCAGCTTTGGTCTCTGCCCACAATGACTCTGTGGCCTAATAGGAAAATCAGTTACGTCAACAGGCATAATGACTGTTGGAAGGCAAACGACAACAGGGTAGGAAGGCAGCTGCTTGTGGTGAGAATACAAACCAGATAATATGATTCTACCTGAGAAGGGTGGCCAGGAACAGTTTCAAAGAAAATGAATTTTTTTTTTTTTGAGATGGAGTCTCACTCTGTCACCCAGGCTGGAGTGCAGTGGCACAGTCTCGGCTCACTGTAACCTCTACCTCCTGGGTTCAAGTGATTCTCCTGCCTCAGCCTCCCAAGTGGCTGGGATTACAGGCACCTGCCACCATGCCTGGCTAATTTTTTGTATTTTTAGTAGAGATGGGTTTTACCATGTTGCCCAGGCTGGTCTCAAATCCTGAGCTCAGGCAGTCCACCCACCGCTGCTTCCCCAAGTGCTAGGATTACAGGTGTGAGCGATCATGCCCAGCTAGGAAAGGACTTCTTGAGAAAACTTTTGAAAGACATATAGGGGCCTGGGAGGACAAGAGGTGGTGAGGCCCCAGGCAGAGGGGTGGTAGAGCAAGACTTGAGGCTTACCACAGTGTCCTGGGAAGCATCACTAGCTCAGTAGGGCTACAGTGAAGAGCATGAGGGAGAGGGTGAAAGCGGAGGGACGGCAGGTGGTAAGGGCGAGGTTCTCAAGGCTCTGCTGTATGTGCTACTGAGTTTGGACTTTATCCTGGTGGACACTGGAGAGTCAAGGAAGCATTTTATGGTGGGGAGACACCATTCATTTTGCATTTCAGAAAGGCCCTTCTCCTTAGGGAGAATGGATTGAGGTCTGAAGCCAGGCGAGATTAGTGTCTACAAGGGCTAGGAGACTACTGGACAGATGGGGCAAGAGACCAGGGACTGAGCCGATGCCTCAGCTCAACAGTGGGAATGGGAGGATGGGACAGACTAGAGACATTTTAGGGCGGAACGGGAGGAAAAAGGAGGGGAGGGAAAAGGAGAGCGGATTCACTCCCGATCTGTGGTTCCAGTGTCTGGCTGATCTTGGTGCCATTCGTGAAGGTTGGAAACACCATGTGAAGGACAGGCTTCAGAAAAAAATGATGACTTCAGCATTGGACATCCTGGGTTTCAAGTGCCTATGGGGCATCTAGGTGGCAATGTCTAGCAAAGAAATGGGTAGGTGCTCCTGTCACCCTATGGCCAGCACATTTACTGGAGGTCAGAGTCTTGAGCTAATGCTCACTCAATGCAAAGTGCTTACTCTGGACCACGTGGCATATCTTCTGCATATACTAGCTCATTTCATTCTCATCCTTGCTCAGTGAAGTGGGCACTGGGACGATCCCATTTTACAGATGAGGTAAGTGAGAAATGGCCAGACAGGCTTCAGCGCCAGGCAGTCTCTTGCTTGAGGCCACTCTTTAACTCCCCATCACACTGCTCTGCCTCCTGTGGAATTCTTCTGTGGACAGCAAGGAATAAGGCAGCAGTGACCCCCGGTGACCTACTTCCTATCCTCCATCCCAAGCTCCTCTCCAGCCAAGATGGAAAGTCCCCAATCTTCCTTCTGTTTGGGGTCTATGCATGTCACATTCCCTGGATAACTTCCAAATCTCCTCTGGCTGGGTATGACACACACATAATCATAAACGGAGTGGAGAGAGACGGGGGCCAGTCCTCTAGCCTTTAAAGGAGACAGTGCACGTGCAAATACATCACACAAACTGTAAAGCACTTTACCAAGCATGCTATTACTATTTCACCTCTTTCTTGATGTTTCTGATCTCTACAATAAAACCAAGGAGCTTCTCTCAGGCTTGCTGATTGCAACTTTAAAAGTATCAGCAAGAACAACTAAGTTCAGATCTTGCTCTGTATCAGGCAGTGTGCTCAACAATTTACTGCTTTATCTCATGTAATTCCAGGAACAGCCCCATGAGGTAGTACTGTCACGTAATACATAATGATAGACTGCATATATGATGGTGGTACATATTTTTACTGTACCTTTTCTACATTTACATGTGTTTAGATATGCAAATGCTCACCACTGTGTAACAATTGCCTACAGTATTCCATTCAGGAACATGCTATAGTTTTGGCACCTAGGAGCAATAGGCTACACCATATAGCCTAGGTATGTAGTCGGCTACACTCTCTAGGCCTGTAGTAAGTGCACTCTATAATGTTTACACAATGCAGGAAATACCTAACTTGTATTTCTCAGAATGTGTCCTTGTTGTTGAGTAATGTATGACTAATATAATTATTCTCATTTTCTTTTTATTTATTTTTTACTTTTAAAGGAAGGTCTCTCCTCCCCTTCCCTTTCCTCTCCTTCCCTCCCCTCTCCTCCCAGGGAGCCACTATGTCTGGCCTATTGTTCCCATTTTTAAGATGAGGAAACTGAGCACAGGAATGAGTTAGTCAAGATCACACAGTAAGGATCTTGGCTCATCCAAATAACAGAGCCGGGATTTAAATCCAAGTCTGGGCTTGATATGGTGGCTCATGCTTGTAATCCCAGCACTTTGGGAGCTTGAGGTGGGCAGATCACTTCAGCTCAGGACTTTGAAACCAGTCTGGCCAACAACGTGAAGCCCCGTCTCTTCTAAAAATACAAAAATTAGCTGGGTGTGATGGTGCACACATGTAATCCCAGCTACTCGGGAGGCTGAGGCAGAAGAATCGCTTGAACCCAGGAGGTAGAGGTTGCAGTGAGCCAAGATGGCACCAATGCACTCCAACCTGGGTGAGAAGAGCAAGACTCAGTCTCAAAAAAAAAAAAGTCTGTCTGGGTCTAGAGTCTGAGATCTTACATTTTAAACCTTATAGAAAATTGAGTGTAAGCTTCCACATTTGTCACATTTTCTTCTCTCCCTACTTGCCCCTTCCATTTACTGTCAGAATTTTGGCTGCACACTGCTCATCTGTACACGTCCAGAAATTGTACAGGAAACAAGGGGAGAGGAAACATGGAGGGAAATTTATTTGCACAGAACTGGAATTCTGATTAAAAGCTAAGGGGGTAGAGATTTAAACTACTAGTTTTAAAAGGTTTAGAGTAATGAGGACTTCAATCATATACTTAATAATTCAGTCAAGAGAATATGAGCTTTATTCAATAATGAATTTCTATGATATTAGAGGTGACATAAAATAAAGATGTAGTGATGGAGTGCAAAGCTGTATGCACCCTCCTCCCTTTGGAATTTAACCAGCATTAACATTAAAATATAGTTCATAAGATTCACAAAACAGACTCTTTGTAGACTAAGATACCCAACTCCAATCTGGCTGGGTTATAGCATCATATGACAGATAGCAGGCCCTGAAGGAAGTAAAAATAATTTACCCCAAAATATATTTATTTGATATATTTTGAAATGACCCTGCAAAGCTGTCTTTTGTGGGGGAAATTTGCATTCTATAGGGAATCCCCTTCCCTTTCCAGGAGATGCTTCACTGGGAGTCTGACACCTGATACCTTTTTTTTTTTTTTTTTCCTGAGACAATGCTGGAGGACAGTGGCATTATCACAACTCATTGCAGCCTAGACCTCCTGGGCTCAACAGATCCTCCAGCCTCAGCCTCCCAAGTTGGGATTACAGGTGGTGTGAGCCACCTGAATAAGTGGAATCTGACACCTTTTAAGGTACATTTACCATCTATTCTCTAAAGCCTGTTACTTAGAGGCTTCATCTATTTCATAAGAACCTTGGCTTCCACAACCTTACTTATCTTAACTCAAGTATTCTTATGACGTGGAAACCCCCTCCCTTCGTTGAGATGTTCCACTTTTCCTGGCCAAACAAATGTATACCTTACATGTATTGATTTATGTTTTTGCTTGTAACTTCTACCTCCCTAAAATGTAAACCAAGCTGTCATCCAACCACCTTGGGCACATGTTCTTAGGACCTCCAGAGGCTGTGTCATGGGGCCATAATCACACTTATTTGGTTCAGAATAAAACTTTAAATATTTTACAGAATTTGACTTGTTTAGTCAACAAGCCTAAATCCTGTGATGTATCACTTCCCTAAGTGATAGGAAAGTGAAGAGAAAAGGAGATTTGCTCTGAGCAGTCTGCCTTACAGGTAGGCCCATATATCACTGGCATTTCCAAATTCAGAACTCAAGACTATGTTTAAAGTCTGTTTAAAACATATATGTCTAGAATAGACAAATCTACAGACATAGAAAGTAGAGATGTGCGGTAGTAGTGACTGCTAATGGGTATGAGGTTTCTTCCTGGGGTGATTAAAATTGTCTACAATTTCTAAATTGTCAGGCATGATAGGATTCACGCCTGTAATCCCAGCACTTTGGGAGGCTGAGGCGAGCAGACTGCTTGAGCCCAAGAGTTCAAGACCAGCGTGGGCAATATAGGGAGACCTTGTCTCTACAAAAATACAAAAAAATTATACAGGTGTGGTGGTAGATGCCTGTAATACCAGCCACTTGGGAGGACTGCTCAAGCCTGGGATGTCAAGGCTGCAGTGAGTGGTGATCGTGCCACTACACCCCAGCCTAGGTAACAGAGTGAGACCCCATCTCAATAGATAAATAAATAAACAAACAAAGGCTCTAAAATTGATGTATTGATGGTTACACAACTCTGAATTGACTATAAACCACTGAAATAAGTACTTTAAGTGGGTGAATTCTATGGTATGTGTAAAAAATATGGTTTTGTTAATTTATTTTCCCATGGCTCATCCAAATAATTTAAGCTGACTGGTGAACTAGAGTTGATTGAGAGATAATTTACATATTCTCAGAATAAGGATAAAGCATACAAGTTCCTGTACTTCTGGGCCAGGTATGAGACCGGGTTCTAGCAGTAAGATGAAACTGGTATTGAGATGCTTCATCTTCTCAGATAAGACATGCTCAAGAAAGACCCAGGTATTTTATTTATCTAGTTATGATGGTTTGTCTGATATGGTAGCCTCACCCACCTCCAACTGTGTTAGACATTTGGTAACTTCAGTCTGAAGAACAAGTTTTGAGTAGTTGAAAAGCCATTGTAGAGTCAAAAGTCAATGGACTGAAGTTCATGAAACTTTATTCCACAAAAAGGCTGTGTTTCCTTATTTCTTTATTTATTTATTTGAGACTGAGTCTCGCTCTGTTGCCCAGACTGGAGTGCAGTGGCACAATCTCGGTTCACTGCAACCAAGAAAAGAAAAGTGAATTAATGATTATTCAGAAGCTGTGGGCCAGGAGCGGGGCCTCACGTCTGTAATCCTAGCATCTTGGGAGGCCAAAGAGGGTGGATGACCTGAGGTTAGGAGTTCAAGACCAGCCTGGCTAACATAGTGAAACCCCATCTCTCTAAAAATACAAAAATTAGCCGGGCATGGTGGCACATGCCTGTAATCCCAGCTACTGGGGAGGCTGAGGCAGGAGAATCACTTGAACCTGAGAGGCAGAGGTTGCAGTGAGACCAGATTGCGCCTCTGCACTCCAGCCTGGGCAACGAGAGAAACTCAGAATATTCATATCTCAGAAAACAAACAAACAACAACAAAAAACTTTTAAAGTCATTCACCTTTGTCTACTTCGTTTCATTCTCACCACCTGTGCACTGGTCCAGTACCATTTCTTAAAAAGATGACATCTCCCAGCTCCACCCTCTTCTCCAAACCTGGCCAGACATCTTTCTAACATGCACGTGGCACCATGTCACTCCTCTGCTTACACGAGCTATTGACAGCAACGGGATTACAGTGGCTTCAGAGTCAGTCACACTTGGGTTTCAGTATTAACACCATAACTTACTGGTTGCAAAACTCTGGGCGAGTTAATTTCTCTATACCTTAGTTTTCTCATTTAAAAAAAAAAAAAAAAAAGTAGAGCCACGCAGAGCACCTCCTGTAGGTCTCCTCAGGACTGAGAGCATATACATCATGTTCTCGGTTCAGAGTCAGGCACATTTTAACTGTTCAATACATTTTAACTACTATTTTTATTAAAACCTTTCAATCGAGGCAAATGAACCTCTTTCATCCTAAAACGTAGGAATTAGATGGAATGACTTTAATCAACTCCTCTGAGACAAGACACCTTCGGATCCTGAAGCCTGCTCATCGTCTGCAGCGTCGCTGGGTGCTTGCCACTCCTCCGGGGAGGAGGCAGCCGTGGGTGCAGCTGGTACTCCAGCGTGAGGGCGCAGAGGGTCAGGTTCGGGGACTCCTGCGGCTGCAGGTCAGCGCTGACCCCAAGCTTCTTCCCCGCCCCCGACCTGTTACCCCGCGACAGTCCCCGCAGCCCTGTCGCCAGGCACAGGCTCAGCCGATCCACAGCCCTGAGTGCGAAGCCTGCGAGGCAGGGCAAGCAGGCAAACCGCAAACCCACAGGGGGCACCCCGCCCCGCCGCTTCCTCCTGGGCCTCGCCCGCAGCCGGAGAAGGGAGGAAGGAGTGGGAGGCGGGCAGCGGGTGGCGCCCCCCACGCCCCGCCCGAGCCCGGCCCCGGCCCCGGAACCCGCGGCGCTCACCTTGAAGGACATCCTGCACATGTCCGCAGCCAACCCCAGCGGGAGCCGGCGCGCTTCGGGCCTGGGCGCCTAGTCCTCTCCAGCCTCCCCTCTCCCGCTGCACCCGGCGTTCCGCAGAGGGGCGGCCTCCGACGCCGCGCGCTTCGGCCGCCCGGCCCGGCAGCAGCCTCCACACACAGGGCCCGGCCGGAGGGGCGGCGCGGGGGCGCGCTCCGCTCGCGCGCGCGCGCACACCGCACACGGGATGCCGCGTGGACGCGCTCCAGGACCTTCCGTAAACGCGCGCGCGCAGACCACCCTAAACTCCACACGCACTTGGCACACCCTCCACACACGTTCACACCCCCACACTCACACACACACACTCCAAACTCCACACACACTGTGGACACTCTCCACACGCGTCCACACCCCACACTCAGTCATCCACACACTCGCTCCAAACTCTACACACACGGTGCACACTCTCCACACTCCACACTCACACACACACACTCCTAGCTCCACACTGTGAACCCTCTCCACACGCGTTCACATGCCCGCACTCACACACACTCCAAACTCCACACACACTGTGCACACTGCACACGCATTCACATGCCCACACTCACACACACACACTCCAAACCACACACACTGTGCACACTCTCCACACGTGTTTACATCCCCACACTCACATACACACACATACTCCAGACTCTACACACAGTGCACACTGTCCACACAGGTCCACACCCCCATACTCACACACACACACACACACACTCCAAACTCCACACACACTGTGCACTTTTGCCACACTCACGTCCACACACCCACATTAACACATCCATACTCACACACCGCAACACTCCAAACTCCACACCAACTAATTCTGCTGGAAACTCTGGGGATAGGTAATTCCACCCTGCCTCAAAGCCCTAATACACTTGTCACTGCTCTTTGGTCATCTGTCCATTTGCACAAGCTGGCTCTCTCCAGAGGACCAGGCTTCCTCTCTAGCAGAGACTCAACTTAATGTTTAGTTGAAAAGAGGTCTGTGTTCTTCTCATTCTCCAGGATTGCTTTCAGGTTATTACACCTCTGTGTACACTCTTCACACTCATGTCCACACACTGTAGCCTCCACATTCCACACTCGCAGCTTCCACACACAAAACTCTCCATAGTCATGTCCAAACACCCACACTCACACATCACACTTACACGCATTCTCCAAACTCCACACACATCGTGCATACGCTCCACATTCCACACCCAGAGGACCCATACCCACACTTTCCACACTCATGCCCACTCACCCACATGCACTCACACACAAACTCCATATATATCCTCCCAAATAGCCTGATCTGCCCCAGAGGACTCCCGACCTTCATTACAGCACAAATATTACAATGATGTAAAAATGAAGCTTGAGGAAAAAATTCATCCAATAGCGATTTTCATGTTAATTTCTTTCTCGGCTTTCTGAGAAACTTTTTTCCTTCTGGATAAAAAAGGTTTGTTTCCTAGATATTGAAAATGTTTGTTTCTTAGAAAATATCTATTTTGATTTCACAAACAATAAGTGGTCTTTTCCTTTTTGAAGGAGAAAGGTCAATTTTGGAATAGACTCATACCCCTCCTCCCGGAGTGTTTGAAGTATATGTGTCTGTTTCTGCTGCCTTCCCAGGGTTGGTTTGGGGGAAGTAAAACTCAGAGTTTAAGTATAAAAGATAGGAACAGGCCGGGCGCGGTGGCTCACGCCTGTAATCCCAGCACTTTGGGAGGCCGAGGCGGGTGGATCACTAGGTCAAGAGATCGAGACCATCTTGGTCAAATGGTGAAACTCCGTCTCTACTAAAAATACAAAAAATTATCTGGGCACGGTGCCGCGTGCCTGTAATCCCAGCTATTCAGGATGCTGAGGCAGGAGAATTGCCTGAACCCAGGAGGCAGGGGTTGCAGTGAGCCGAGATCGCGCCATTGCACTCCAACCTGAGTAACAAGAGCAAAACTCCATCTCAAAAAAATAAAAATAAAAAAGATAGTAACAGCTCTTTAAGCACATTTTAGAAAATTTAAAGTAAAAAAGTAGGCCAGGCATAGTGGCTTGCACCTGTAATCCCAGCACTTTGGGAGGCCAAGGCAGGCAGATCACTTGAGTCTAGGAGTTTGAGACCAGCCTGGGCAACATGGCAAAACCCTCTCTTTACTAAAAATACAAAAATTAGCCAAGCATGGTATTGACCTACCTGTAATCCCAGCTACTAGGGAGGTTGAGGTGGGAGGATCACTTGAGCCTGGGAGGTTGAGGCTGCAGTGAGCCAAGATTGGGTCACTGCACTCCAGCCTGGGCAACAGAGCAAGAATCTGTCTCAAAAATAAAAATAAAAACAAAAAAATAATATAAAAGTGGACGTCTTACTCCCTTACACTAAAGGAATCCACTCATTCATTCTCCGCCTCACCACTTTGTGTCTCTTTCCCTCTTCTCAATTAAATTTGTAATGAATATTTAATTTAAAAGTTAAAAAACGATGAAATAAAAGTTAACAATAAAAATTAAAATGTTTAACTTTTATGGATACATTGTATTACTTGTACTTAAAACAAATTTTAAAAGATTCAGAACTTTTATAGGAAATTCCAAATTTAAAACTAAGGACACAAAACTTTTCCTTGCCTTGAGTGCCTATAGATTACACAGGTTTTAAGTTGTCACACAACTTTATTTATTTATTTATGAGATGGAGTTTTGCTCTTGTTGCCCCGGATGGAGTGCAATGGCATGATTTTGGCTCACCGGAACCTCCACCTCCTAGGTTCAAGCAATTCTCCTGTCTCAGCTTCCCAAGTAGCTGGGATTACAGGTATGCACCACCAGGCCTGGCTAATTTTGTATTTTTAGTAGAGACGGGGTTTCTCCATGTTGGTCAGGCTGGTCTTGAACTCCTGACCTCAGGTGATCCGCCCGCCTCAGCCTCCCAAAGTGCTGGGATTACAGGCTTGAGTCACTATGCCCGGACACCACACAACATTATTATAAAAAATCTAGCATCGGAGGTTTTGCTTTAATAGTTTTGTTTGTTTGTTTCTTCTCAGAGTTGCACTCTTTCACCTAGGCTGGAGTGAAGTTTAAGTGATTCTCCTGCCTCAGCCTCCTGAGTAGCTGGGATTACAGGCATGTGCCATCGTAAAATTTTTGTATTTTTAGGAGAGACGGGGTTACAACATGTTGGTCAGGCTGTCCTGAACTCCTCATGATCTCCCTACCTCAGCCTCCCAAAGTGCTGGGATTATAGGTGTGAGCCACCACACCTTGCCAGAACTACTATTTTGAGTGTTTTCTAGGTACAAGGTGCTTTCCTTATAAACATTTTATGAGGTGAGTATCATACCCATTCCACAGATGAAGAAACTAAGGTTCCGAGAGATTAGAGTGATTTGCTAATAAGTGATAGGGCTAGGCATTTGTCTATCTTCAAATCCTTCCCATTATACTTGAGCTAGAAGTTGCTTTTTGCAGAGTCTCTGGCCAGGGTGCTGATGGGATTCTTATCAGTCTCTGGAAAGAATGTGCCTAACACGGTCTCGTGCAAGTGATTAAACTCATCTTCCTATAAACAGCTCCGAAATGGAACAAAGCCCTCATGGTCACAACAGGCAATTCTTTCTAAAATGGCCCACTCCAAACTTTAATAGTGATCCACTGAACCTAATATGAAATTTCATCTGCACGGCCCAGTTTTCTTTTCCAAACAACTTTTCACTACCAAATAGAGCCTCTCCATCCTTGCCATCCTGTCAAACAAAAGGGAGAAAGGAAAGAACTAATATTTTGAGTGTTTTCCAGGTGCTCTCCTTATAAACATTTTATGAGGGGGGCCTTATACCCATTCCATAGATGAAAAAAACTAAAATTCTGAGAGATTGGAGTAATCTGCTAGTAAGTGATAAAACTAGGCGTTGTCTATTTCCAAAGCCTCATCAGAACCCTCTTCCTTCTATGGCTCTCTTTTGTCTCCTCTCTTTTATCTTCCAAATCTCAACCTGCCCAGGGTGTTGCCCCCAGCTCAAGTTCCTCTTCCTACAACCTGGCCCTCAGTCATCTTCCCCCCAACTTTACTGAGCTCCTGCTATGGTTCTGCTGTACACCACATCCCTCAACCCTGATTCCACAGGGTCTGGTGTTGCTCTCAACTCTGCTTCTGTTGCTTTTGACTTCTTCGGCAGAGTTGAAATTCTTCCAGGCCAGTCCCTGTGTCTTACATATCTTTTATTTTCCCCAGGAACTAGTTTATGGAGGGAGGCATGGTACGTAGTCAAAACTTATTCATCATTGAATTAGTAAAAGAGTCAGGGGGTTGTGTTATCCAAATCTACCAAGTCAGAAGGCCCATTCTCATCTGCAGACATGCATTACTCATATGCACAGACATCTGGGTTGATCTCAAATGAGGCCATAGTCATTGTCACCTTCTGTTCACACCAGCACAGACCTTGATGTGTTTGGCCTCTATTTTGCACTGTCCCAGTTGATGGTCCAACAGGATTTGCCTTCGACAGAACTGAGAAGTAGGTCAATTTCATCTACTGAGCATTTTAACTCCCTTTCTGTAGTTAGGCTCCTTCACCCAACTAACTCCCTTTCTGTAGTTAGGCTCCTTCACCCAACTAAGAGTTCATTTCGCACATCTTGTCTGTCTTAATTCTCTGTCTACTTTCCCATCCCACATCTCTAAAAAATTTTGTATCTATTTATTTTTAAATAAAGAGATAAAAAAATTTTTTTGAGCTTTTTTTTTTTTTGAGACACAGTCTCACTCTGTCACAGAGACAGGGTCTCTGTCACCCAGGTTGGAGTGCAGTGGCAGGATCATAGCTTACTGAAGTCTCGAATTCCTGGGCTCAAGCAATCCTACTGCTTCTCCCTCCTGAGTAGCTAGGACTACAGGCACATACCACTATACCAGCTAATTTTTTTTTTTTTTTTTGAGACAGAGTCTCGCTCTGTCACCAGGCTGGAGTACAGTGGTACAATCTCGACTCACTGCAACCTCTACTGCCCGGGTTCAATAGATTTTCCTGCCTCAGCCTTCTGAGTAGCTGGGATTACAGGCACATGCCACCACACCTGGCTAATTTTTGTATTTTTCATAGAGATGGAGTTTTGCCATGTTGGCTAGGATGGTCTTGATCTCCTGATCTCATGATCTGCCCACCTTGGCGTCCCAAAGTGCTGGGATTAGAGG